CCGCCAGGCAGCTTCTCCCTGCTGGGCACGGATTCAGAAAGCCCAACTCCCTTATGATCGGCGAATGAGCGGGGACAGCCATGTGGCTACCGCATGGTCAGCCTCCTCTTTCCACACCCAGGGAAGGGGGACACCAAGTCACAGCAGAGCAGGGAGCTGGCGGCCCCCAGTGTCCTATTTGGCGGGGCACCAAGCAGTCTCTCTGTCCCAGCACACCCACTCCTGCTGGCTTTCTAAGAGACCCACAGCCCCCCTCGAGCACAGAGCACCCCAGAAAGACACCCACCAGCAGCTCAGCAGATGTCTCAGAAGCACCCCCCTTCAGAATCGCAGCTGAAGCCACAGCCAGGACAGCCCCTCCCAGGAAAGCCTTAGAAGAGAATGCTGAGTACCTGGCCCCAGAACGGGGTGATCGGGGCTAGGCCATCTACCTCGGGGTGCGGGAGCTCATCTGGCCTCGGGGGCTTTAGGTCTGCAGACGCGTTATTAGCCACCGTCCCCGCTCTCGGGTGGCTCCGCTCTCTCACTGTCTCCCTCCTGGAGCCACCACGGACGGTCTGCTGGTGGCTCTGCACTATTCTGGCCACCACGTTATTAGCTCTGCCGCTCACCTCCATGTATTCATCTTGACACAGGCAAAAAGGGAGGACAAACAGAGCCAGCAGGTGCCCACGGACCATGGTTCTCAGCAAGCCGGGAGCCTCCTGGGGAAGACGGATGGCCGGGCTCCGGCGCGTGGTCTCCTCGGGGGACGCCGGGCTGGAGACCGAGCACAGCCGGCCCGCGGTTTTATACTTGGCCGGGTAGTAAATAGGCTGCAGGCATGCCAGAGGGGAAGCAGAACGGCCCATTCATCACTCCCCACATCACAGGCAGCACGGCGTGCGCGCACAGCTCCCAGTTGCTGGGGTTCGTAAATGTCACACCTTGGCCCGGCTTTCTGGTTGCAGCGTGAAAAAAAAGCATGTGCGACCAGCTGGAAACAGGGGGCGTGTGTCCAGGGGCTCCCTGTCGAGATGAGACAGGGAAAGGCTGTGCCCCGCGGGCTGAGATGCCTTTTGGAAAAGCCTCCGGCGGGCCTGCCAGGAAATCCGGGCTTAACGGCATCCAGTCTGTCTGAGAGGCAGTGGGAACCCGCCTGGGCGATCCAGAAAGCTCCTGCCCTCGCTCGGAAAAGTCACCATTCCCCCCGCCACCTGCACCCCAGTGGTCGGCTTAGAGGAACTCATTTCCCCTCCCCGACACCAGGAGCAGAAGGCCGCGGGGTCCTCAACACCAGGCTGGACTCAGACGGAGTCTCTGGGGTGAGCAACTGCGCTCCCCCGTCCAGCAAATGCTCTTTCCCTGAATTACAAGCATCCGGCAAACACATTTCCCGAGTCTCCAAAAGCCAGAGTTAAGTCCAAGGTCACCAAGTTGCTATGGTCGGATGGAACCAGAACATTCTCCTTTGCACTAAGAGAATAGCGTCTCTGGCTACTCTTCCTTCTGACCTGTTGTTGGTTGAAATCAAACACATGGACGGCGCTGAGCCAAACGCAGGACTCGGAGCAGATCAGGATGGAGGGGGTCCTCGTGTCCTTTGTTCTGCTCGCTACGCTTTTATTAATTCTGCTGAAGAGCCAATGGACATGCCTCACCTCTTTGCGATAATAAATTAAGTTATATAGATTTTGCATTTAAGGTGGCTTCTATTTACATATGTCACTTACTATTCCTCATTCGCTCACATAGTAAGAAGTCACTGGAGGACTGGAGTCCAGCAGGAGTGAGAGACGCCGGGACCGGCAGGAGGTGGATGAGTGCAAGTGTCTGATGCCAAGCGGACAAGGGGCCCCGTTAGAAGGCCACAGCTCAGCGAGGCCGGGCCTGACCATGAAGCTGAAGTAACGGAGCAGCTGGAGAGAGCGAGGCGGGGGGGGGGCTGCCCTCCTCTCCAGCTGCCTCCTCACTTAGCAGAGGGGCCTGAGAGCTTTATCCCCCTGCACCTGCCAGACAGCTGCCCCCATGCCCACGTCCAGGCATGGGAAGGACCTGGTGCTGGGGATGGGAGGAGTGAGAGTTATGCTGTAACATAGAAGCTCTCCAGTTGACAACTGCAGGGCTTGGGAGCCATGCTCATCCAAAGCAGGCAGTTCCCATGTGGTGGGGTGTGAGACGCTCAGCCAGCCCCATTCTACAAGTCTACCCCGTGTTGTCCACAATCTCTGCCCCGGAGGATCTCTGCTTCTGTGCTGAGCGCCAGGCAAATGCCCCTGGGAGGGCAGCACATCAGGCTGTGATCTGACACTAACTCTAACTGGGGACTGTTTGACAGACCTGGAGCTGAGGCAGGAAGGCTAGTCCCGGGGCCCTGCGGACAGACGGGTGGTGGAAGGTAGCGGTGGGAGGAAAGGTCCTGAGCATGTCCCAGGGGGACGCTCCTCACCAGGGAGACCACGAGGCGAGGAATGGCTCTGAATCCAGGTCACCCACTCGCCAGTTTTCTAAGCGTCCCTGGCAGCTCCCCAGCCTGGATCAACCCTCTGGCCAAGTGGCTACAAGTCAACCTCTTCTGACTTTCAACTGCATTGAGACTTTCCATGGGTGTTTTCAATCCTTTCATCTATTCTAGTGGTTCTCAATCTTGGCCGCATAATAAAATCAACCAGGGAACTTCTAAATATATCCGTGCCTGGGCCCCGTCCCAGACCAATTGAGTCAGAAAATCTCGTGGGGCCTGGGCACCAAGAGCGTTTACAAAACTCACCGAGAAGACTCGAATGTGCAGCCAGGGTCAGAAGACACTGGCCCGTTCTCTCTTTGACTCAAGGAGAATACATAACAGCTATAATTTTTTCAGCACTTACCATGTGCCAGCCCAGTACTTCTTTGCTTCATTCAGCTCATTACTTTTCTCAGTAAACCTCTCACCCCCAGATGCGGAAACAGAGGCTCAGAGAGGGAACGTGACTTGCCTGGCGTCACACAGCTGGAAGGGGTCATCAGGATTTGCTCCATCTGCTCCCCTGCCTCCCTCCAGAGAAGCAGGGGGAGACCCACGGCAGGCTGCCCGCAGACAGGAGGCCAGCTCATGGCTCACGGGGCCTGCCCGCAGGAATCTGAGGTCAGAGAGTTACGAGTTGAAATGTATCACCCCCAAAGAGATGTTGAAGGCCTAACCCCCAGCCCCCATGAGGATGACTTTATTTGGAAATAAAGTCCTTGCAGATGAGCATGTTAAGATGAGATCATTAGGATGGTCCCTAACCAGATACAACTGTGTTGTTACAAAGAGGAAACATTTAAACACAGAGAGAGACACGCACACGGGGAGAACGCCATGTGAAGACGAAGGCAGAGATCGGGGTGATGCGTGCACCAGTCAAGGATCACCAAAGCTGTCAGCAAACCACCAGAAGCCATGAACAGACATGGTACAGTCTCCCCTCTCCCCCCTCTCCCTTCTCACCTTCCCCCCACCCCCCAAATCTTCAGAAGGAGCCAGCTCTGCAGACACCCAGACCTCAGACGTCCAGCCTCCAGAGCTGTGAGACGATACATTCCTGTAGTTAAGCCACCTGATTTGTGCCGCTGGTAGGGCAGCCCCAGCAGACCGTACAGAGCATGTAGGGAAACCTGAAAAACTCCAGCCAAGGGGACAGCAGTCCGAGAAGATTTAGCCAGTTGTTCACGTTCAGGAATGGCTTGTAGCATGGCCCCAGGCAAGACCCCAGCCTCTGGCACAGGCCCTTTCCATCCCCTCAGCGCCTCCCCATTGCCTGCATTTTAACCGCGGCTCCTGGTTAAATCCTCCTTGGGGTTGTCATCCTGTACCCGCGCTGGCAATGCCCCTCGTTCAAAGGAGTGAGTTAGGATTGGGCATAACTTCTCGCCTGTGGGCTGAGTATGGAAGACATCTAGGATCGGAGTCTCACTAGCACACGGCCTGTCTGTGAAAGCTCACAGAGGATGCCCGGGGACACCCGTCTGCTAAGATGTGGGGGGACTCTTGCTTGTTCAGCGGCCCCCAAAGTCCAGCAGGATGTTGGCCCTGCCAGCTCCACGCGCAGCAGGGCGCGTGAATACGTGTGCAGTCAGCTCTGGGAACCGGCTGCCAGCCGGAGGCAAATGTTTGCTTGGCCCTCCTTACAAAGACAGCTGTTCTGAGGTGTGGAGGTGCCCTGTGGTCTCCCCGGGGCGCTCGCTGGGCTTTGGCAGAGAAGAGATCAGCTGTGGTCTGGCAGGGGACAGTGAAGGACTGTGTGAGGCTGAACGTGTCTTTATCTCAGCGCCAACGTAAAGGGAGCGGAGCAGGAGGCTCGGTAGTGGGGTGTGAGACCCACCTCTCTCCGCCCCTCCCCACTGAAAAGTCCTCCCTGTGCTCAGCGCGGTGAGATTCTAAAATCAAGGCTCGATCCCCTTGATCTAAACAAGTTAGAGGTTTCTTAAAATGCAAATAAAATAAAAATGCTCCCTGAGGTGAGGTAGGGTAGCCGTATTGGGCATTTATGTCCTGATGTCGAAGGCTTTCTCAGATCCTTCTGGGTGAGTTTTATTTGGAGAAGAAAGAAAAGAAAGGAACACGTGTTTTCAGAAAGGGGACCTTGTCGTTCAGTATTAGCTGTTGCCATTTAAAGAAAATTGTTTTCATGCTGGGCACCAATATGAGGCAGAACTGGACGCAGAACACCAGAGGAGGATGGTCGGAGAATGAGGGCGCCATGGATGTGGTGGAATGACACAGTTTCGGGTCTGACCCTCATTGGGCAAGAGCAGGAAACAGGTGCCAGTGTCCCTGGAAGGGGTCCATCTGTCTCCATGGCCCAAAGAAGGCCGTCAGGGACTGAGGAATGAACACAGCATCGAAATGAAAACTGTAAGTGTATGTTTACTGAACAGCAAGTTCTCCCTGTAGCTCTACTTGAGAAGACAATTCTAACCAGAGAGATGTGTGATAAACAGGAAAGTGTGTGTGTGTGTGTGTGTGTGTGTGTGTGTGTGTGTAACAGAATTTGTTGGGTAATAGAGGATTAATGGCTGGTATCATTAAGCCTTTGTGTCAGTAGTCAGAGTAGAAACAGAAACCACGCCAGGTGGTTTCAGCTGAGAGAATTTAATCTAAGGAATGGGTTGAGCACAGAGATAGTAACTGCAGGAAGCGAGCTGGGAGTTGGAAGGGGAGAGGCCGGTGTTATTAGAGTTTAGAAGCTGGAAGGAGGGACCCTGCAGAGCTGGGATTCAGATGACCAAGGACAGGTCACTGCCCAACTGATGCTGGCACCTTGGCCAGGGTGCATTGAGGCTGATAGAAAGATGCTGGCCTGGAACCAACTAGTTAAAGGCCATTGCTCAGCTGACACAAACACAGCAAGCAGAAGGAATGACCAGTGTCTTCCAGGATCCTCCCGCCTCCCAGCACCCCCACCTGGTTGACAAAGGAGAACAGCAGTTTGCAGAGTCCCAGTCCCAGCATCACCAGGCAGAGCTTTAAAGGCTGGGGCGGGGCTGAGGGACGACTGCATGGCTTTCCAACGTGATGCACCAACTGCTCCCTGGGCGTGTTCCTGCCACTGGGAGCAGGTACTCAAGTTCCTGGGGAAGCACCAGAGTTACATCATCCAGGTGAGTCTGTCTGAATCCTCCTTTTATAAACTTTATGCAGTTCATCTCCGTTTTTCCTAATAATTTCTTTCTTCAGACAGAGGGCAATGAAACTAATGATACCTGTTTCACATGGTGGTTGAGAAAATGAAAAGAGATGGTTTACTCTTCCCAGCACAGCATATGGCACTCACTACCTACTGTAGTGCAGGGATAGAAAAAAAAAAAAAAAACAAACCATAGTGGAACTGGAGAAAATCCTTAGGAAAAAAAAACATCAGGTCACTATAAACTTTATTATGCTTCCTGCTAGCGATTAAGCAATTAAAATAGCATTTGAATCATTAAACCCATTAAGAGGTTTCAGCTCAGTGAAAACAATCAGTTTCTCTCTTTAAGTGCTGGGAAAACTATTCCCTCCATTGAATTCAGCTGCAGGTACTACAACGGGTTGGTGTTCAGTGAGTAGTCTAGGAGCCTTGGGTGATTTTTAAAAAAATATTTCATTAATTTCTTTTACTTCCCGGAGATGCATTTGAGAAAATAAGGCTAGATTGCAGAAACAGAAGAAATTCCTGAAGGAATACAGCTCTGCAGATTTATGAATAACGCCGATGAAACTTTTCATCCACCTTGAAAATTAATCATTTGTTTCAGCAAAGAAGAGGGCAGCCCTGTCCCGCCTGCTTTCGTGGTTGCCACAGGCTGAGCCAGGAGCTCCTGGAGGCATGAGAGAGCAGAATGTTTCCACATGAGTCATGCCCATCCCAGACACTCCACCCGAACCACAGAGGGAGCAGAGCGGGGCTTGGCGTCCCGAATGCATTTCTTGATTCCCAGACTTAAACTGGGCCGGGCCCGAACGGCATTGAATTCCAAACCTGCAGTCCCGCCAGCCGCGTCGCCTCATGACTTCACTCGGCCCGTTGGCTCCCGGCAGTTGGTGTGACACGCTGCTGTCTTTCAGGGCCCTTTGCCGCATTTTCGCGCCTTCCCACTAATCCAGCCAGAGGCTCCTGCTCCGTGGCCGCATCCTTGGCCGGCCCCATTTGGGATTGATTTGGGTGCAACATCAGCCAGATTTCAGGCACCTGGCTGGGATGCGTGTCAGAGGTCCCATGAGCAACAAGAGCACCCCAGGATTTTAAGAAAAGCAGAGCCTGCTGCAGTCCATTTAACCTCGTCCTTTGCCCTGTTAGGTTTGGGCAAAGAATGGCCCAGGAAGGAGAAGGAGCCCGCCCAAGGGAACACAGCTAGCTGGTGGCGGCGCCAGAGCTAAAACACACCAGTAGCTCTGCTGACTTCCCGACCAGTGATCTGCATGCTTCGCAATGAATGATTCATTATGTATCTACTGCAGCGAATGCCGCTCCTCAGTGCTCGGGCACTGAAGGAAAATCCATTAATGGTCTTTGCTTGGCTAGATCTCACTCAGGCTTCCAAGCAAACTCCAACCCACCACCTCCGTTAGGACCTCCCTGACCAGGTAGAGTGACAGCGGAGAGAGCACCAGGCCCCGTCAGGGAGGACCTGGCTTTGAGTCTCAGCTCGCCTTCACTGTGCGTGGCCGTGAGCACCTGGCTTCCCCACACGGCCCTCTGAGCAGGCCCTCCAGGGAGCGAGGAGCCATGGTGAGCGGCTCCCATCCTCTCTCCCTGGCTTGTTCCTATTCCCTGGGGAAGTGCCCTCTGAAATAGGTGCAAATGGATGCAAACCTCATGTATTCCCCTCAATGCAGAGACAGTGTAGCTGGGAAAGGCAGGGCCCCTAGTAGAGGAGTGAAAAATAAGGAAAATGTATTTCTGCATCTCAGTTCTTAGCCATCCAGGTGTCTATTCTGGGGTCAGCAGTCTTCCTGAAGGGAGGTGTAGATTGTCAGCATAATCAGACTCACCTGATAAAAGCATAGGATATTTCAATTCACAGAAGGGAGCAGAAGCCTTCAGACCAATCACTGACATGGATTTCCACTCCTGCTGCTGCTGGGCAGTCTGCAATCTGTTTTCTAAGTCCATGGGGGCTTTACCAGTAGGCCGGAGCTCCGGGGAGAGTTGCGATGTTCTGGCAGCTGTACCCACAAAATTCTCATGTTTTCCAACATACACAGGGAACTCTGCACACATCTGCCTTCAGTTTGAAACAGCAGCAGCTGGGGGACAGCTGCTCGGGCCTGGGGTAATGGAGTCCATTGCTTCCTGGCATCCACCCTGGCCATTCTGTTCAAGTGCTTACAGTTCTGGGTGTATCACTTAACCTGGCCATTGTCACTAGAATTTCAGGGACCGCTCTTCAATTTAGGAGCACCGCCCATCCATTTTCCCCGGAAATGCATGATTTCACACTTGTTCTAGAAAGTTTAATTAGTCTCCCAGGAAGGGTCCTCTGCATTGATTGAAGGTTATGCAAGGCTTTGATGAGTTCCAAACCATTATTTGATGGTTTCACAGCAGACAACTCATGGGAAAGAGCAGACTGAACTAATACAGAATCGGTAAAGTGTAATTTCAGGTATTGATCATGGTACATCCTCTTTGCACTTTCTCTTACAGTTGCTTGTACATATTTTTCACCGGTTTTACCTGTCCCAAAACACACACATTAAATCCAATAGTTGCACTGGAGTTCACCTTTTGTTATTTTTTACATCATTCTGGGTTGTAGAACTTTACTTATTAATTTTTATCATGACTTTTATGTTCTAATGAACCAGTCCGTAGAGTTAAATGCATTTTATGAACTGGGATGTATGGCATACAAAAAAGTAACAACAAAAAAATGCAAGTTTAACAAGCACAAGAAATAACTTATTAATGCCCATCAGCTGACTTCAACCATATCCTTAACTGAATATGAGCCCAACTGACCAATATAAGCCTTGGGATCCCTTAAAAAGTATAACACTTATTAAAATGCTGTGGTGTTCCTGGAATAATATTTTATCTCGCATATCAAAATTTGTTACATTTATGTACATCAACTTATTTTTTTCTGAAACTGCCACACCATCTCCTGACCACTTGGTTGACCTGTGACAAGCAGTGGTCCAAAGACCACACTTTGAAAAGCAGTCAGCCTTCATGTCAAGAGCCCTAGAATCACTGACTTTTTGCTTAAAAGAAACTCTAGGAATCATCTACAATAATTTTCAAACATCTGGGCCATGTGAATGGTTAATTTATGTATCAGTTTGCCTGGGACATGGTGCCCAGATACAAGGTCAAACATTCTGGATGTATCTGTGTGGGTTTTGTTTTTTAAAAAAATCAGATTAACATTAACATCAATGGACTTTGAGTAAAGCAGGTTGCTCTCAATAATGTGGGTGGCTAGGGTTAGGGTCGTGGTTAGGGTTAGGGTTAGGGTTAGGGTTAGGGCTAGGGCTAGGGTTAGGGTTAGAGTTAGGGCTAGGGTTATGGCCTCACCCAGTCCGTTGAAGGCCTTAGTGAAACAAAGTCTGACCTCCCCCAATTCTACCAGCAGACAGCCTTTGGACTTGAACCTCAACATTGAGTCTTCCCTGAGTCTCTAGACTGACAACCATAATTACATGAGCCAATTTCTTGATATCTCTCTCCCCCACCCCATATCAGTTCTGTTTCTCTAGAGGACCCTAATTCAATGACTAAGGATGAATGTGTGAACCTGAGTCAAGCAGAAGAGAAAGGTGACTGAGAACATGCAATAATGAGAGTTTTTAATGAGAATGAAGAGGATCACCCTGACCTGGCCTCTCAGAGGGTTCAGTCTGCTCCAGAGCATGTCTGTGAGTTTCCAGACACTCTCACAGCATGAGAACACTGGAGATCACATGAGATTCCTTTGGCACAGGGTTAGGGTTAGGGCACAGGGTTAGGGTTAGGGTTAGGTCTAAGGTTAGGCACAAGGTTAGGGCTAGGGCTAGGGTTAGGGTTAGGGTTAGGGTTAGGGTTAGGGTTAGGGCTAGGGTTAGGGTTAGGGTTAGGGCTAGTGTTAGGGCTATGGTTAGGGCTAGGGTTAGGGTTAGGGTTAGGGCTAGGGCTAGGGTTAGAGTTAGGGCTAGGGTTAGGGTTAGGGTTAAGGCTAGCATAAGGGTTAGGGTTAGCATTATTATAGGTTTAGGGTTAGGGTTAAGGCTAGCATAAGGGTTAGGGTTAGCATTATTATAGGTTTAGGGTTAGGTTTAAGGCTAGCATAAGGGTTAGGGTTAGCATTATGGCTAGGGCTAGGTTTAGGGCTAGGGTAGGGTTAGTTCTAGGGTTAGGGTTAGGATTAGGTGTATGTTTAAGGTACAAGGAGCTCTGAGATGGCCCACCATGGGGAGTGCTATTGACGAGGGTGAAGGCTGTAACTGTTTTGAGGGGACACAAGACTGGGGTCAGCTGAGCCTGGCCTGGGGGATCTGGTCCCCACATGGTGGGTGGCTTCATGCTGACTTCAGGAAGATATGGGGTGGTGCCCTGGAAAGTGCATTTTAAACACCTACCCAGGTGGTTTTGAGTTAGATGAGGAGCAGGTCATGGGGAATCATTGAAAACACCAGGGCCCAGGAAGGCTGGAGTGTGTGGAGGGAGGCTCGAGGTCGCCTCCACCCGGGCACTGGAATGTGGGTGAGTGTTGGCTCAGGTCAAGGGCGGATGGGACCTGAGAGGTGAGGCAGATTTTTCTTCCTAGAGCCCAGGGACTCCTCTCTGTCCTCATTAGAGCCCTGAGGGCTGGGCTGTCTGAGAAGAGGAGGATGAGACAGAGGCGTGTGGCGGCTGCTGTGGGCTCTGGGCAGAGGGCAGAGGGTTGTTAGTACCCCTTTACCTTTTCCCGCTTTCCCTGAAGTGATGTAAGGGCCATCCATGAGTCCTTCCTGAATTCTGGTTCTGTCACCAACAGGTGAAAGGTGCTGATTTGGGGTGGGGAGAGAGAAAGAGAGAGAGAGAGAGAGAGAGAGAGAGAAAGGAAGGGGCAAGGAGCAAGGTGAAGACCTGCTTAACTGCTTTCCTACCGAAGTCTCTGTACTTAGCCACACCTTGTTTCCATGGGTCATTGGGCAGATATTCTGCACACCTTCACACACCCCAGGGGCTCAGAGAAATGTCACCCTCATCAGAATACGCTAGCTTTCAACCCACACAAAAGCCTAAGGAAGACAAATGGTGGGTTGGTAAGAGAGGCTGGGCAGGCTCGCAGCGCATGCTGGAGCAAGGAGGAGATGGAAATGTCACCGGCAAGCTGGCTCTGCTTTTCCCTTTCTCTAGGACGTGGCCCAGTTCAAAGGCTTAGCCTTAGGCAATGGACTAAGTTCCAGAAAGTAGACTTCCAAAGCCCCCTGTTGGAATCACCAAAGTCCTTGCCATGCAGACTCAGACGGGAACCAGAAAATAGGTTTAGGCTGAGATCTATGGCTGCCTGCTAGTCCCCTCCCCCCAGTACCCATTCTCCCCTACTTCTACTTCCTTAGTCATAAGAACACGTACAGGTCATAACCCCTACTTAGATATAGATTACATTCCCAGGTTCCCTTGTAGCTAGGGGTAGCCTTATGACCAACGTTTGGCCCATGGGATGTAAGAGGGAGTCTTATGTTTGAGGTCTTCATTTTCTCTTCCTGGCTGATTAGAATGTGGATGTCACCGCTGGAGCTCAAGCAGTTACTTTGTCCCAGGAGATGAAGGAAAATGAAGCACTTAAATAAGAAGAAGCTGGGTCCGTGACTATGGTGGAGCTAATGTACCAGCTCTTGTTTAATTCTGAACTTCATTTATAGAAAACAAGCAAACTGCAATCCTGTTTAAGACACTTGACCTAAAATTAACTTTTCTGTCACCTGGCAGCAGGAGGGGACGTAGGAAACATTCCAAATGTGAGCAGTACTAACAAGCTGTGGCTGGTCTGAAGCTGGAGGGGGCCATGTACCAAGGCACGCAGGCAGACCTGCGGGGCTGAGGCGGCCCCCAGCTAAGAGAGGTCCCGGCTGACAGCCAGTAAGGAGCAGGAGTGTTGAGTAAATGATGGTGCAGCCATTCACCAGACTACTACATGACCATTAAAAATGGGATGCATTTTTACTGACACAGAAAAATGCTCATAATATTTCGTGTTACATGTTCAGTGAAAAAAGGACTTATACGATAAGCATACGTGTGTCTGCAGTATCACATTAAAGTCACAACACGAATCTGTGAAACCTCCCTTTTTAAAGCTGTTCCAAACCTAAACTAAATCTGTACCTTGAGCTGCCATTCCCCTTGGAACTGGACGCAGTATTGCCAGTACAAGACATATTTGGTTATCTATATTAATAAAAGGCCCGTGACCGTAACGCCGTGATGCCGTAACAACCAAAGACCAGCACGGGTGGGCGGGGCTGTGCAATTTCGTGTGCTGGGCTTCTAGTTTTCTTAATAATTGCATCTTTCATGCCGGAAAAATTTCAGTTTCAGGTGGCTGTCTTTCCCCATCCTTTTTCCAAGGTGGATGGCAACTAAGTTCTTGGGAGAAAGTCCACCCTGGAGGCTGTAGCTGGCGAGCACCCTTAGGGACATAGAAAGCACTTGGGGGTTCTGTGCTGCTCTGGGGCCAAGGAGGCTCAGGGGACTCCCCAGGCTCTGCTGCGTGCACATGCCTGGCAGTTGTTTCCATTTCTACCCACTGATTCTTCTCTTTTAGTTCACCCTGGAAGCCGACAGAGGACCTCTCTGCTTTCAAAAGGAGCGCAGGGGGAAAGGAAGGTTGGGTGGGAGAGTTCGAAACTGCTGTTTAGTTCTAGGGAAATTTGGCAAGGCCGATGGGGAGTCCTCAAACCAAAGTCCCCCATCCCAGCATCTGGCCTGCCTGTGTCCCTGCCACACTCACTCATCAGCTGGGAGCCGTCCGAAGAAAGACTGGTCTCCATGGGAACCCAGCGATGGATTTCCCAGCACAGCAGCTGCGGCGTTGGTCACTTATAAATAACAAGATTAAAAACATTTCCAAAGCATTACATTATCCAGATTGAAAGAGAGGTCAGTTTTTTTGAGAAAGCCACGTACAGCCGAGACGGAATATAATACCTTTGGTTGCTGGAAATTCTTCTTTTGTTCACTTTTGTTCACCATTCCCTTCTCCAGGCTGCAGCTGACACTATCCCTTGAACTCAAACAGTTTACACTTGGGTGGGGAGAGAGGTATTAATCATTTTCAAATGTGTAATTTGTTGCAAGTATCTTTATATGTGCATATGCATGTACATTTTAAAG